AACCAGGTGAAATCCATTATTGATAATTAAAGGCTTAAAAAAGAATTAAAGGGTACATTATCCTAATAGCAATACTATTAACGTTAATTTTCAAATTAATAGTTGCCTTAAATTATTAATAAATATGAAATAGATTATTACTCCCGCGTTATTTACAGTATTATATTGATGTCACCTGCTATGGTCCTTGCAGATTTACAGGGGAATGGCTAGAATTAACCGTTAATGAGCTCATTTAAATAGATTTTAAAATTATTTTTATAATATAAAGGTTAAACCGACATCTTCATAAAAAAAATAACTGACAGGATCTACAATACATTTTTTATTGTGTAGTTACGAACTTATATACGTGTGTACGTATGCACGATATTTCTTTCTTTGGTACATACGTAATTTATCATAGATGCGTGATACATAACTCGCGTAACAAGAAACGAAACCGTATAAGGTGCATTTTAAATTAAAAGGGAAGGTTCGGGAAGTTGTCAAAGTGTCATATGATCTGCGCGCATAAACAAACAAGACCGATTACTGGTATAAATAATTAATTTTCCCACTTATTTTATTTTTTCAATTTATCATACTTTCGTTTTCGTATAAGAGTAATTCAAGGGTTAGAAATTTTTAATGAATAATTTAAATTATTTTTTTCACAATTTAATACTCTTTTTTATTTTATTTTTCGTTATATATTATTAAACAAAAAAACTCCAGATAAAATTTTCAAATTCAATGAAATTTCTTGATATTTCGTCTCTCGATTCTATAAACACTGCTTTAGTGTTTGAGAACCCTGAATGTAGAGTAATAGGTCGAATAGAAACTTATTCTTGTAAGTTCATTAATAAAATAACTTGTGATTCACAATTTTTTATTATAATAATTTTATTTTATTTGTAGGTAAACTTGCTGGAGTTGATAAAAAACTTTATAAAAATCTTGAAGGACGATGGAACGCACAAATTACTCAATCGCAGAGTGTATCACCCGAACAGCATAGTTTTCATAATATAATATCTCCTTTTGGTCCAATGGATCAGCCATCTTCTCGAAGGACTTTATTCAATTTGATAGCAACTTTAAACGCGTCTTACCCTGATTATGATTTTTCGTTTGTGTCAATTTTTAAAAAATTTTATTTTTTAAAAGAATAATATAAAATATTTTATTAAAACAATTTTCTATATTTTAGTGATGTTAAACCTGATCAATTCACAAAACAACCATCGGTTCCGATGGTTTGCAATTACATCAACAATACTCTTTTTAACCTCGGTCGTGCATACATTGTAAATGACCTCAACCTATGGCAAATAGTTGATGATATAATTGAATTAGATGAATGTAATGTTTATTCGTTCAATCCTGATGTAGACTCTGATCCAAATGCTGAAGATGGTGCAATGTATGTAAATATTTCATTTAATCATTATTCGGTTTTCTACATATCATTTGCAACAAATTGAATGGACCTCTGTCTGTGTACAAACAAGTTCATCTCAAATGATATCTATTCTATTTTGTGCTTTTTTTTTCCACTCTCTCTTAGATGGTCGTTTAATTTCTTTTTTTACAATAAGAAACTAAAAAGGATCTTGTTTTTTACTGTTCGATGTTTGAGGTAAGTAAAAAGATTATTTTAATAAAAGTTATTCAGTATATTTAACAAGGCTTTTCTTATTTTTAGTATAAACGCACCTTTACAAGAAGATGAACCATTAGATTCTTTTTCGGGATCTGAGAGTGACATCAAGTAAGTAAGTTAAAGTTGAAAATGGGATTTATACGAATGTTGCGAATGTACTGGCGTCACTATAGTCTGAAAATTTTCTCGTAAATATATTGCAAATATGAATATGTATATATATATATCAATCACAAAGTTATAAAAAAAAATAATAAATCTAAAAAAGCATTGCTTCATTAAACATTGCAATGTATTTAACTAAGTAGTTAAGTATCTTTAAAGGTACGAAGTTTATTATTGATTTTAAAACTTCATGATGATATATATATAATATATATGCAAACGTGGAACATGCTACATATTTGCAAGTGTTTATTTCATAATTCACCTAATGAAATAAACATATAGTGTTTAAATCATTCTCGGGATAATTAAATGTTACTACTGATGCCGAAATTAATATGAAAATTTAAAATTTTTTTAGGAGCGTTAGTTGTTTTTAGAGGTATAATATTTAGGGGTTAGAATGGGATTTGGAATAAAATAGTTAGTATAGGTGGATTCTAGGGGTAATTTTAGAATCAATCAATTTCTGCATCAGCCGTGGCATTAAATAATCTTCGAGATAAATAAATAAATCTTAGAATAATTGAGTAATTTACGGGATAAAAAGCAATGCCAAATAATGCAAATGTGCAATGATGCATTGCAGGTAACCAACAGTAATGGGGGGGGTGAGTAAAGAAGTTCAAGGATCGAAATTAAATTTCCTAATTCTTCAATGTTCTTTTTGTTTTTTTTTTTCGATTCATTCTCTTATCAAATAATATATTCAGCGCAATGTCGTACGAAGAATATGTTATGGGGGATATTGAGATGTAAGGAAAACGCACGATACCTATATATGAACCTATATGTGAAGATAGTAAAATTTAAAGTCCATGTAAGTATAAGTTTGAAATTTTCTTGTCAGTTTAAATAAGATTAATAATATGTGTGCGTGTTATATTATAGATATAAACAAAGTCGCATCAAACCTATTTAATGCATTAATTTGACACAACATGGACTTGCCATAAGAAATATATAATTTCGATTATAGATTCGATATATGTATTTTTCTTTATTTGGGATAGTTTAGTGTAATAAGTATTATTAGTTATAATTGATTTATAACTTTCATAACTTTCATTTTATTGTACATTCTTTATTGACTTATCTGTTATTTGTAAATCAAATTTGGAAATAAATAAATCTATATATATATATATACGTTATATTTGTGTTAACTTTTAAAGTTCCGTAACAACCAATTCCTCTTCTCTCTTATTGAAATAGTAAAAAAAACAAACTTAAATTGCAGTAATATAGTATCGTAAAAGATTATTTACCATGATATATGCGTATATTACTATATGATAAATTTATTCTTGCTCACGGTATTACTGTATAATACCAATACATTGTTCTTGAGAAAATTAAACAGTAATGATAAAATAAATATATATAAAATAATAAATAACTATACAATACCCATATATATTCATATTATTTACCTAATTTAACTTTGTATCACCATTACTAGGTTTAATATTAACATTTAACGGTGAAACCTTATGTTTTGGAGTAATAGCGCGTAAAGTTTTTAGCATGATTTCGCGAGTTTTATCCATTAAAGAATTTATTTGATCTTTATCATCAATATTTATATTTGTTGTTTCAATAGGTGGTAATACTATAAAGATAATAAGAAATAACGCGTGTTTAAAGATTTATTTTTTTCTTAAAGTTCAAAAATAAATAAATAAATAAATATGTAATTAATTAATTAAAATATACCTTTAATATGCAATTCACCACCATGAAATATTCTTCGACTTGAACTATAGATATCACTATAATTGGCTACTACTATTGGAATTATAGGGATTCCAGCTTGTGTAGCCATATAAAAAGCACCCTTTTTGAACGGAAGAAGTTCGGCTTCCTTGAGATGAGATCTCGTGCCCTCCGGAAATATAAAGACGCTTATCTATTAAATAATTAACGATGAATATAAAGGTTTTTTTTTTTTTAAAAAAAAAAAAAAAGGATAAATAAAATATTACCTTGCGGTGTTTAACTTCATCTGCAGCTTTTATTAAAGCTTGTACGGAACTATCACGATTTTTCCGATCGAGAAATATGGATTTACCAAGTACCACTATCGATTAATAAAGTAGATTATTACTATATCTAAATGCATGCATAAATTTGATATTCTCGATAAGATAAATTTCAATATACGAGAATATTTTTCTTTTTAAAAAAGAAAAATAATAAATTAAATGACTTACTATATATATTTAAGAGTGGCACATATTTTAATTCAGCTTTTCCAACAATCACGCAATCCTTTGGGAAAATTCTTCCTAATACGAATAAGTCGGCGGCCGATTGATGATTACAAACATAAATTGCTGGTTTTCCTGTAAGCATGTGTTCTTCACCTTCAACTTTATATGATATTCCAACAGCTCCACCGGCTATATAAGCATAGGCCCTAGCAGTTGCCCAATTTATCAGACCACGTTTACCGATTAATGAGAAAAATATTGCAGAAAGAATACCATAGACCGAAAATATGATTATGAATATTAGACTTATTAAAGCTCGAACAATGAATTGTATTGTTGGGTTAATTCGACTACCAGTTATGAGAACTCCTATCACCAAAAGTGTAGCTAAAGGATGAGCTGTAATTAATTCCAACTTTACTAGAATACTATCTAGAAACATTTGTAGTGAATTTATTATTATTATTATTATTATTATTATTATTATTATTATTATTATTGTAATTGTAAGATAAAATAAAAAATTATCCAGTATAAATTTAAAGTAAAATGTTAAACCAGTAGTAGGAAAATTTTTTTAATAATAACTATAACTAGTATTTAAACGTTTTTTTAAAACTTTTTTGTAAACACAGAATAAAAAAATCAGACATTTATAAAGATCACTATTTATGCGTTTATTGATTACAAGCAAAAAAATCTCACTATTTGTTTGGTCAGGAGACCAAGCGGGATGACGCCCCATGAAGTGCCGAGGCACCTAACCCCAAACAATGTGGATATTATTACATCAAGCTAGCTTTACAACATTTGAAAAATGGTTATAAAAGTAACACTGTATGTATTTAAAAAAAGTAATTTTCTTTTTATATTTTTTTAATGCTAGCATGTTTAATTAAAAAATGACCCCTTCAAGTGAACAAATTATGAATCATAAAATTTCTAAAATTAATGCTAAAAAGAATCACAACTGCACGCCCTGAAGTAATAATTACGTTATTTGGTTTAATGCATATAATGTCATATAGAGAACATGTGATTTAAGATTGTCTGGTTATCGTAACAGTATTAGTATGTGGTAAAGACCGATCATTACGCAAACGTAATAATTGTAATTGTAATTGTCTGAGGCTTTGAAATTTATCGTCCTTGCAGAACTTTATCAATATAAAATGATGGCGCTTCTCTTTTTCAAAAAATCAAACGATTTATTAAAAAAAATAAAAATAAAAATAAATTCGGGAACCAATAAAAAACTATAAACTGTTGCTTCAAGTATATCCTTACATCCATGCAGCCCATCAAACAAAACCCGCATTATCATTTATCATTGATCGAACTCTACCAAGAAATCTTATGTATGTCAAATAAAGTCATTTGATATATTACGTATTTAATTACGTATTTAATTACGTATTTAATTGCGTATTTAATTACGTATTTAATTACGTATTTAATTACGTATCAGGTATTTATATTACAGGTTACGTTTTATTTTTTACCTATTTATTTTTTACGTATTTATATTTTTTATCTATTTATTTTTTTACGTATTTATATTTTTTACCTATTTATTTTACGCACTCGGACATTTTTATTTTTTCCGAGTTTTTATTCTTTCTTTTTTCATATTAATCATCCCCGTTTTGATAACAGCATAATTGGTTTGTTATTACCGATATGTGCCGAAGCTCAAAATTGTTTGATTTATCGGTTTACGTATAACAAATCACAGGTACAGAGAATGTATATGTATAAATATTGCGAAGGGATGATCTTAAGTTTTCGAGATGCATAAAGCACGTGACTCCGATTTTGAAAGTTATCATTGATACTATATTAAGAATCCGTCAAAAGCAATGCGCTCGCACATCTCCAATATTTCCAATGTAAACTGACCTGTCTAACTAACATCCTATTTGCTCGTTTACTACTACGCTTAATTTCAACGAATCAAACTATTTTGTAGGACGACATTATTGTTGTACAAACTTAATATTCATTTATTTCAATTTACTTTATTTACATTCTTTTTATTCTTTTTTTTATTACCGTAAATAAAAAATCACTTTGTTGACTTATTATAATAATTTATACGTAACAAATATGTTTAGTCATTTGTTACATTACGATTCCCATTTTTTACCAAATCGTTGGGTTTCAGCTAATAAAATGTTTCAAAAATGTTCTAAAAACAATAACCAGCAGTTATTCTTTCTTCTTTACGATTAATTATTAAAATTATTAAAAAAAATTTTTTTTTATTAATTGTTCGGTTACATAAATACAAGTTCATGTCCTAAAAGAATTTAGAAAAAAGTGTTATTATTTCTTAATCGAAAAAGAAAGAAAAAGGAAACGATAAAAAAACCCAATACTCTTTTGTTAAAGACATTTTTGTCTGAATTATTGTTTATCATTTTATATAGACAAAAAAAAAACCCCTAAGCTCAAAACGACTATTATATGTTTTAAGAATATACATATTATATAATTATAATTAAAATAATTAATAATGACTTCAACGAAAACTGATCCAATTAATGATATAGGTATGTTTTCCGAGTCTTTTTTCTTCTATCCATTCGACAAAACTGAGCCACTTTTCTTATACTCGAATGTTATTGATAATTGTTGCTGCCACCAACTTAAAATTATTTAAGGATGAAATTATTTATAAACCATCTATTTATCTATCATCATTTTATATAATATATATAATATATCGTCATAAATATATAAATTTCCTCCGAAATTATATTTATTACGTATCAACTCATTTATAGATATTAATGCTAAAAACTTGTTTACTAATTTTTTCTTCATTAAAATTTTTTCGATAGAAACTTCTGTTACCTCGGTTCTTTCTTCAATTAATACATCTCCTCGTTCTCCAACTTTTCAATCTTTCTCTCCTCGTACTTCTGTTCCTTCTTCTCCAATTGGTCATCAAAAGATGAATAGTTCTTCGGAGATAACCACTCATTCCTATCGTGACTCTGGTTATTTCAGAGATACTTTGACAAGAGAACAAATGAGCGCTCAAAGAACTATTAAAGAATTGGAAAAGAAAGTTGCTGATCTTACTGCTGAAATCGATCGTTCAAAAAGTGAACATCAAGAATCAATCGATTTGAATAGGACTCATGTTAGAAAAATCAAACAAATGGAACTTGAATTGTCACAAGTTAAAATTGTTAATAAAACTATGTTGGATGATAATAAAAAGTATCAATCAATGTTGAATGATAAGGATGCCGAGGTTTGGCTTTATTCAGTCTTTTTGTATTTATTTATTTTTATTTTTTTTTATTTTTTTTTTATTTTTTATTTTTTATTTTTTTTTAATTTGTTAGTATCGAAAGTTAAAAGAATTGTATGAGAATGAAGTGGCAAAGAATGCCGCTTTGAGTAAAAACGCTACCGACTCTTCCGATTTGGACGTTGAAATTAATCGTTCTGGTGGAGAACGTGTTCATAAAGAAAGTGACCATACTTTAATTGAAGGTATTATTTAAATTCTTTTATTATGCTTGTAAAAAATTCTTGTAATACATATATATATATATATATATATATATATATTAATTATTGTTATTATAGAACTTCAAAATGAAATCAAGACCCTTAAAGAAGATAACCAATCAATGAATCAATATATTCAAAAAATGTTAAATAGAATAATGGAAGTGGACGGATTTGAAGAAACTTTGGCTACAAATTGGACTCCTGAATCGCAAAAAAAGATTTCAAAAGTTAACAATAGTCGTACTTCAGCTCCGGTATCACCAAGTCCAAAAAGTACTTCTAACGATTCTTCAAATGATTCACTTCCATTAAAACCACGTAATAAATCTTTATCGGATTTTAAATTTCCACGTACCACCCCTCCTTCAAATTCTTCAACTGCTAACTCCTCATCACCCACTACTACGACGTCTAAATTTTCTCTTACTCCCCTTACTACTTCTTTAATTAATTCTCTCTCTTCTCAAAATGTAAATGAAGAGATAATAATTGATAATGATTCAGGTTTAAACAACGCGGATACTACTGCAAGAAAAGTTCGTGGTAGCGAAGATAATTCTTCAAATGGTCTACGACCAAATACCAATGTTCCTAGACGTTCTCAAACTATGAGCAATGGCTCTAACAAAAGATTTAGCATATTGAAATGGGGTTCCTACGCCTTTGGTACTAATGCTGCGGCTCTGGCTGCTGCTAAAAAAGAGGATCCAAGGATGAAACCCATTTTACTCGTTGAAAAAAATCGCGAATAACTTATTTTTAGAAAGAGGTGTGTGCTTTTCCTTATTAATTTTTGTTATGAACGACCATATATTATATTAAGATAAATTTTAAATAAATTTTAAATATTTTAAATAGAACTATATAATATATCTACATTTTATTATTATCAGTTATTATTCAGTTATAGGTAAACCTTTTCATAAATATATAAAAATTAAATACTTTTTTTTTTTTTTTTGCGTTGAAAAAATTTTTTTTTTATCTTTTATCCTGTTTTTTTTTTATCTTTTTTTTTTGTAGTTAAGAATTTGATATTTGTAATAATCGTTTCGTTATTGCTGTTGTTGCTTTGTTTTATAATTCCTGTTAATAAATAATTGCTAGCTAAAGGCGTCTTTCAAAGACCTTTAAGCTATAAAGTAAATAAATGTAATCAATCATAATTCATAAGATTAATCATTATATTATTTATGTTATTGCGTGCTAATACTTTAACATTACTGAAATTCTAATTTTGAGTCGCGGTCTTTGTATATACAGTATAAACAATATCATTAAGAAATTAAATTTTTTCAAAAACCAAAAGATTATTCTACTAAAGTTTAAGTCGTTTAATTGATAATAAATTAATAACAATTTTTAAATTTTTTAAGTCCTACGAGAACTCTTGCGTTTTTTTTTATTAATTAAAGACGCTATATCTTCATATGATGCAAAGGTCGGTAAATGTTTCAATTTAACCTTTTTGTGAGCTGGACCATCTAAAATAAAAAATATCAAAGTTTTCTATTAATAATAAGACAAATGAATGCTTATGAGATAATTAGAATCATTACCATCATTTTCGCTGCTCATGATGTCATCATCATCTTCAACCGAATCATCGCTTTCCTTTAAGTCAACATCCTCGCCGTTATCATCATCATAGTTATCACTATCATTGCTATCACCGACATCATCGTTGAAATTGTAATTATCATTTATATCATTTATATCATTTATATCATCGTTGCTATCATCATCGTTATCATCGTCGTTGTCATCGTCGTTGTCATCGTCGCTATCATCGTCGCTATCGTCTTTATCATCACTAACATCATCGTTATTATCGCTAATATTATCACCAATATTATCAACAACATCATCGTTACCATCTTCAGAAGAGAAATATGACTCCTCTAAATCATTAAGCTCATCATCATCCTCGCTATCCTCGAGATCTGAATCCATTTTAATAGGCAATGTTGATTTCATTGCTGCCCATATTTCATCCTCTAATTCATCTTCATCTTGGTCATTGTCAAGAAAGTCAGTTGTTCTTTCCGATTCCTTTTTCACTTTTTTTACTTGCTTTCCTTCGTTTTTTTGTGTAAAATATTTGTGAAAGAATACCTAAATAATTATAATCAATTTTATTTATTGTAATTTGACCATTAAATCACAAATGAAATATTACTAAAACTAACCTGATCCTCTGGTACGTCATCCAGCTTTCTCCTCCAAAATTCATCGGAATTCACATTTATTTCATCTTTAGATATTCCAGTACCTTTCTTCATTACTACCATTCCTGGTTCCGAGGCGACAGTTGGCTGAAGTAAGGGATTACCACCTTTAATTCGATCGTTTTTTTTAGGATTACGATATACAAATCTATCCAGAAAATGTGATAATGTATGATGATGAAGTTCAGGTGGTGGATCGATATGTATATTCTCAAGTAGTTGCTTTGCATATAAAGCAACTGTGGGATGAAAATGATTAATGAAAATGGTCTATTAAATCAATATTAATAATACTTAGTAATTTATTTTTATGATTATTATTATAATAAGAAATATGATACAGATTGAAATATTGGAATTTACCAATTCCCATATACACGTTTTATCAGCATTACTATATTGAGGATCTCGTTTTCGACCATCATACTTTCGAGAATTTGTTATCTTGGACGATGATTGACTTTGTTTAGATTTATCACCTCGATTCAAGTTATCTGAATCGTCATTTGGTATATCTACGAAGTGCTCATCATCAACAACATCATCATGATCTTCGGGCTGGTTAATAAAATAACTAAGCGATGGATGCCTTTTTACAAGCTATATAATTGTTAAAGTTTCATTTAGTGACTTATTTTATATAATTTATATATAGCATAATTTAAATAATTTATAATTTTAACATACCTCTGAAATCATATAAAAAGCTCCACAGATAAAAGGTGGTAAATGATGGCCACATATTTGTATCAATCTCTTTATAAAAGCTTCAGCACGTATTATTTTTGGATCATCCTTTAAGGCTTTGAATAATAAGTTTAAGTACATCGCATGTTTTGATGATCGGCTGAGACGAGGGTCAAGTAACGACTGGTAGAGAGCACGGTAAAAACGTTCAGACAATGACTAAAAATACCAAAAATTAATATGTACAATAAAGAGAAGGTAGTATTATATATTTATATTTTTTTTACCTTTCTTTCGCAGGAAATTTGATAAATTAGCATCAATGCTTGTATACTAATATTAAAGGTACCAATACATGTAATACGATATAAAACGTTCAAACGGGATTCGTATCTATTAATCATTTATAAAATATTAATATAAATTACATTTAATTTTAAAACTATTAATAATTAGCAAATTATCTTACACACTATGGTCCACCTTAGCAAATTTGTAAGCCCTATTTACACCCGTTAATATTGCAGTGACAAGTTTAGAATTCACAATATCTTCACTTTTAGTCTCGTTATCCTCCTTTGATTTTTTTGTATTCTGTTTTTTGTTCTTTTTCGTACTCTTAGCATTTTTTATCTCCTTATTTTTTAGTTCCAATAATGTGGTAAAAAGAATGAAATAAATATCAATTAATTTATTAGCCACTTCAGTATCATTCTTTGTGAGAATAATTTGATTTAACGTAATGACACCATAATATAAAGCTCGTTCGTTCGCAGCGGGAAACAAAATTAATTGTTCAATTTCTCTTGTAATATGAAGTTTCATTAACGGATGAACTTCAAATATTTGATTAATTAAGTAAGATGTTTTAGATGCTACTTTTCGTTCTTTATCACCCTAGGTATAAAAAATTATAAAAAATTTTTTAACATAATATAATATAATTAAAAGAAAAATTTTTTCAAGCAAATATAAAAATACTTACCAATTTATTAACTAACAATCTTAATAAATTTTGCTCTTGTTCGGGCTTTTCTTTAAACAATGTGAAAATTATCGAAATCATTTTCTGCCTCACGAATGTTAGAACATCATGAGATAGTGTCTATTTAAATTAATCGATATAAATTAAATTAAATACAATTGGTATAAAAAAAATTAACGAGAAAAAGTTATTTACTTCAATCACACGAAGTAATTCATAATAATAATTTTTGATATAGTCTTCAAATGCCCAAACTATCAAGTGTTTGTCCGATACTTTTGGATCATTTAATGGTTGATCACGAAAATATCTGTTTGAAGCGTATATGAATAAGAATTAGCTAAAAAATTTTTTTGAAATTTCGAACATAGACGAAAATTTATTTAATGCTTACTTGAGCTTTCGGTTAGGTAGAATAGATTCAATCATTAAATGCATTAAACAATCAATCGCTTGAACTGCCTCATCTCTACCCTTCTTCTTAGCCATACTCATTAATGTATCTAATGCATGAACCGCATGGATAGGAGATTCATCAACAAGAACAGATAGAGTTGATATCTTATCCTTAAGAGTACCAGATTTAAGCATTGTTGTGTAAAAAGTGCGGTCAAATGAATGGTGTAATACTGGGTTGGCTTCATATTGTTCATTTTCAGTTGTTAATAGTTTTTTTGCAGTATCGTATTTTGAAGTAATTCTTGCTTCGGAAGTTGGAACCTCAGACGAATTATTTGAAAGAGGTGGAAGTTCAATATCATACCAAGGTCGTATGGGTTGTATTTGCTATAAAATAGTTAATGGAACGAATTTCACGTTTAGAAATGCTTAACGTTTAAATATAATTCATTTACGAACCAAATTTGATTTATTCTTTGATTTGTTATTGAAATGGTTTTTTTTCATATTTGAATGATCTTTAGAAAATCGCTCTATTCGTTTTAATGAATTGGTTTTTTTTTATTGGGTGATAAACGAATTTGTTAATCTAATCTTAATTTTAGCATATAACTGATAAATTTGGTAAATGAACCTCGAAAATAGAATACGTATTATATATATAGGTTTAAAATAGCAATTTTACAAAAAAAATTTTTTTTGAGTACGTATTCGCAAAAACTTTTTTCTGTAAATATTGCTATTTTAATGCATTGAGCAGATTTTTGAATATTTTATTGAACACTAACGACATGACTTAATTACTAAAGTAGTTTAAAATATAATATTTTTCGATTTTAATATCTTTTAACCATTTCGAAAACAGCAATAAATATAAAACAGATTTTTTATTTTTTTTTTGGTTTTAAAAGTAAGACCTTGCTTATATCTTTATTAAGTAATTTATATAAGTAATTATATAGAAGTAACTATGTAAAAACTCAATTTATATCAAATGAATAAATATAAACTATATGCAAGAATAAAAGCTCTAACTTATCTGCAACCTAAACCTAGAGTGGTCAAGACTTGAATAGTTAAAATATAATTAGTAGAGGTACTATATTGAATTTACAATGTGAACCAAATGTCAAATTTACAGTTAGTAAGCCTAGCAGGTATGCAAGTGTTAGAATTAGAGTGCAATTAATCTGGTATATTATATAGATAGTTATAGATAAATTTTGTTTCTAACTTTAGTATGAAGATGATAGAAAGGTTGTTGATAGAGTTGGACAAAAAAAAAGTTTAAATAAACTTGATGAGCTTTTTTCTAAGTTGAAAAGTTAATACAATATGTTTTCTATATATATATAAATATAAAGTTGGTTGGAAATTTTAAAGAAAATCTGAATAATAAGCTAAGTTAAATAATAGTATAGATTGAATAAGTAAGCCAGGAATAAGACTTTTGAGAGTTAAGTAGAAAGAATAGAGATAAAGTATAAAGAAATAAAGAGAAAAAGATAGATAAAAAAAAAATAGTATATAGTCAACCTTCTATATAATCATCTATTTGGGCTGTGTTCTACAAAAAAGGGGGAAATTGACAAAAAAAAAGATCTTCAGAAAATCAATTTTTATGTTATAAATTTTATAATAAATCATAAGAAAATACAAATTTCAAAAAGCTATTCTACAAGATTTTATTAAGACAACTACTTTGTGTTTTAAGTAAAAAATAATTCTAATTTTATTCTAAATTGATTTATGCAAAAAAATAAGTTTTGAAAAATTTGTTGATTTCCTCCTTTTTTGTAGAACACAGCCCATTTTATCTAGCACTTTTTGGTAATTATATAAAGATATAATTAAATAGAATTACTTTTATACAATTATATAATATAAAGTAATTAAAATAGAAAATTGCTATTTTTGCCATAGTAATTGGCTATTTCTACATGATTATACAAGATTTTCTATTTTTAGATTATATATAATACAAAAATACTTATATTTTAACTTTAACTTTAAATTCTAATATTATAAAAATTTTTTAATCTAATACTAACTCTAAACCTAATAAATAAACCTTTCTTCTAGCTTTAAATAAAGTTGCAAAGAAGGTTTTTCTAATTCTAATAGTAGTTAAATTATTAAAATTGGCCTAGTAGATTTAAGATATTTGGGGTTAAAGATACAAATATAAAGATTTTTTATTTTTTTTTTTTAATATTAAGGTGACCACTTAGGTCCCTGGCATTTAGCTTTATTCAGATAAATACGATATTACATTAATTTCACAAGAATACAACTAGCCACACATGTACTTTTAGTACTTAATTTAAGTAGTCCGTCTGGGTTTTACACTAGCCACCATACCTGCAACCTAACTAGGAGATTATCTATTTAAGCTCTCTGATTATTTAACTAACGAGAGTACGACTAGCCAT